AAAGAGTTTCTACTGATTCAGAAGGGAACACAATCAACTTGAAAATTTTTGTGTGCGTCCATAGTTTTTGGACGAACTGTACATCTGGCCCCAAAACGGGTCAAGCGAGGCAGGGCATGAAGGCGGTCGGGCTTCGACCTAGTAGTCCAGTCCTACCTTCCGTACGCTTCCGTGGATGAAGGGATTCCGCAGGGGAAATGGAGAATTTCGTGGCTGTGCGAGCTCCAACAGGTTTGTTCACGGCACTCGCCGAACGGGCAGACATCACGGCCATCCTTTCGACCTCCCCTTCAAGCGGTCACACGATTTCTTCCAGAGGCCACAATGCGACCTCGTGGCAAAAAACAGAGCCAGCCACCGACAACATCCTCCACGATCGGAACCGAGTCGATGCCGTGCCCGCCAGGAAGCCGCCATTTTCGTGCTATGTCCCGCCGCGCGACTCTGACAAAGGGATGCGACACTGCATAAATGCATATCCTGCCTCGCGTCGGATATTCATTCTCAGAGGTTTACACCTATTTCTCCAATCCGAGAGCAGGAAAGACATGTCTCCATGTTCATGGGGGAATTCAGGTGGCACCACCGCCGCCGAAGTCGTGCTGACGCCGCCGCGAACATTCACACGTTGTGATCGCGTCGATATCTGAGATTCCTCGGGTCTGCATGAAGGTCCGCTGGGGCTGGCGTCCGTTCGTTGGGCCACCAGCGGAGCGTCCTGGAAAGGCAGTAGCCAGCGGCATCCCCATCCCCCTCTCTCTCGAGTTCTCATGGGTTCCGCCGCGACAATCTTACGACAGACGGGTGCCGCCGCGAGAAGGCGGCGGCGGATCGCAAACATAGACACACACACACACACATATACTACTCGAGGAATCCGTTCCACCGACTGCCCGCTGGTTTCCTCGCACACAACGAGCGACTTGAACCGACAGCACAACACCTATCTCGACCCGAGTGCAGTCCTTACTGGTGGTACACGGGCTGCGGCGGATACTGGCCAAACGGGATGGCCGACGCCGCCGGCCGGCTGTATGGCGAAGGCGCTTCGTCGTAGTAGTCGTATCTTGCGTCGAACTCGCCCGTCGTCATGTGGTGGGGCACGTGGTGGTGATGCAGGCGCTGGGTTGCAGCGCCGTGTTTGTGATCGTACAACATGGGCGCCGAGTCGGTGGTGTACGACGCCGAATACGACGTTGGTGACGAGTACAAAGGGTACGCTCCGTCGCGCGATGGAAACTGCGGTCGATATGCCCCCGAATCGTCTCTCCGCAGCGCGCCGAGCGGCGAACCGCCAGCACGGAGAAGGCTGCCGGTAGGTGTGTGGGACGGAAACTTGTATCGCTGGTGATCGTCGTACTCGTACAGGTCGCGCGGCGTGTGTTGCTGGGACGGCGGGTGGTGTAGTCCGTGGTGTGCGAGGTGGGGCGACGATGACGGGTGGTGGAGGTGATGGTGGTGGTGGCCGTAAGACACGTTCGGGGTGTACAAGGTGGCGCTGTCGTGCGGTGCGTCCCACACGGGGGGTTTGAACTTGTCACCGACCATGGGCATGCGGTTCTCGTCTTCCTTCCACAGGTGCAAGTCGGGCCCGGGATGTTTCATTGCTTTCTTCGTTTCGAGGAGGCGGAGTTTCTCGTTGCGGCGCTTTGCATCGAGCTTCTTCTGGTGCGCGCACGCTTTCGTTCGGTGGAACTCACACAGTGTGTGCATCGTGCCGTTCTTCTTGGTCGCGCGCGGCTGCTTGCACTTGCCGTGGCTGTACCGGCACGTCTGGAGCTCCGTCATGCCGCCGACCAGGTCCAAATTCGAAAATGACTTCGCCACTCGCCTCCCGTTTCGTCCAATCACATGGCCGGGTCTGATTAGTACGCAAAGTTCAAGATCGGCCACGGACTTCGAAACCAGGCACAGTCGGGGGGGCGATGCCCCCCCCCGCATCGTCCCGCGGACAAGAGCGTCCCGATCGTGGCGCGCGCCGACGTCGCGTCCCCGTTCGGCGGGATCGCGGGCCAAGTCGTGGGGTCCGCCGCGACCGAACCCAGCAAGGCGCTCCAGGGCGGCCAAGTGTTCTCAGACGGTGGCACTGCCGCGGAGTATACATTTCTCAAGGTGTGCGCCACCACCCGATCTGAACGAAGAAGGGAGGAAGGACGTCGACCGCATGGCGGACGATGTGCTGGTGGCGGCGACGGCGGCGGCACCCGGAATAGATGTATGGCTGTGCCCCCCCACCCCCAGCTGTCTTTGCCCCGGCCTGAGTATTGTGGTACGCGTGGTGGACTCTGTTGGCTCTGCCGGAGTTCGTCGGGATGGGGGAGGCCTAATGCGTGGCCGTCCTCCATCCTGCGAAGGATGGCACGAACGATCGCGCCATGCTGCCGCCGTGGCTCGCGATGTTGGGGTCGTCGCGACGTGCCGGCGAACGTGTTTCGGCTCGCGACCATGTCGAACGCCTTATTCGGGTGTGGCATCTGATATAGAGTCTCTTGGTGGCTACTGCGTCACGACGACAAGGACAGAGAAACAAGTCTCTGCGCGGTGGGCCCGCAGAGATAGATTCCCCATGACGTCGTCAACCGGGGCTGCGCCGACAGGTAGCGGCCGTGTCGACGGGCGATGAGGAATCGGTCCGTTGATGCGGCAGTGTGCAATGCATGGTCACGTTGAGAGGCTTTGACGCGTTGTTTTCGGTCGGGTACATGATCACGGGGTCGAGCTGGTCTCGAGGACGTGCGGCAGCCAGGACATTGGACCCGCTCCTTTGGTCCACATGTGTATGCCCTTGACGCATGGTCGTCCCACGAGATTGACGCCGCCAGCAGGGGGGCTCTGACGGGGCCGCATCGAGGCCGCAAGAGGATGTGGCGCCGTAAGAATTGGTCGTGTATCTGAGTTCTATCGATATCAGACCAGCTGGCACACGATGTTCAGAAGGCGAAGCGCAGATGGGTAAGCTGAGGATGTCGGTGGCATTCGGTTTGCGCATGCACAGGGGGGGGCAGCAATGTCGTATGGCGTCGGCATATCGCGTCCAGGCGCCATTCGAACGCACGGAGGACTGGGGCGGCAGCGAGCTCGGCACCCCTGCGGCATCCTTTTCTCGATCCGATACACACCACGTGTGGTACAACCGTCAACGCGGTGGCGACGAGGGCATCGCGGGCAAAACCCCGTCGAGCGAGACGGAGCGAAAGATGAGCTAGCCGCGTGCACGTGGTCATGATGCCCGTCCGCCGTCGTGGGAATTCGCCCCGAAACACCACCACGCACAACTACTTGTTGGCGTCACTCGGTTCGACGTGCTCCGAAAGGGAGGCGCATACACGGATTGCGCAGAACGCCTGGTAGGGCGAGAACCGGCGTCGCCAACCAAGGGGGTGCAGCCCCCTTCCCGGTGACCACTTGCGACAAACGCTCGGTCGATCGTGCCCGAGTTTGATCACCACGACTAGGTGTGGAAGGGCGATGTCGCCTTGCTTGAATTCGGGCCAAAACCACTCCGGAATCGACCTCACAATGTCGGCCCTGGGTGGTACACAGTTGTTGCAGCAGCACGACGACGGCGCACCTTCTCCCGGCCACTGGAGCGTCCGCACCTTTGAAAGAGCCCACCCATTGCGCGGGCAAACGGACCCCGAGATACATATTGCTAAAGATGTACCACCCACTTTATCAGGAGGAAAAATCGGTCATGTCCCCTGATTATGGGGGAGTCACGCCGATGGCAAATCAAACGACTGGACAACTCAGATACCACTTGCTCGCCCAAGACAGCCAAGGGGGTCGACGTTGCGCCCCCACGGTGCTCAGTTCTGTCGTCATTTCGACGGGACGGGTGCTGGAACGATGTGTGGTGAAGGGTGCAGCCATGTCACCAAGCGAAGTGTGATGGCGGATCTGAGATTCCACCAACAGGGAACCCACACCATGTGGCACTCCTGGTGTAGATGAGTGACCTTGGGGGGGGATTCAAGGCTGGGGGGTTCATTGCATGCATGGCACGGATGACGATGACGTCTGCAGGAGGTGGCGTTCTGGATGGCAACTGCATGCGCATGGCAGAGCCCATGACAACCTGTGATGGAAAGCCCACATCGGGCAGAGGTAGGATGCAAAGTAAACGCTGAAGCGTTGGGGCAGAGTGCGGCGCAATCGACACGTATGGTCGAAACAAACGACAGTCGTCACTATGTATAGAGGGAGGGGGCGAGCCGTGTGGCAAACACATCGACGCTGCGATTTCGCCACGTAGAGGGCTCGACTTCATGTGCAAAGTGCAGTGGAGCCATGCAGGTCGTCGCCTGACCATGTCATGGTACATACACCCCCTTGAGAGGCTTCTTCCCTTTCCGCAAAACCTGCAAACTGCGTGAAGTTTGTGAGAAACAGAGTGAGGCCCCATCGCTTGGGGTAGTGTGTTGATCTTATTCTCCAGCCATGACGGGGGGGACATCGCTGCATGGGAGGCTGGCGGAAGACGTCGGTGAGCACAACGTTTCTCTCGATTCCCCTGTCGAGTTTTCATGGGGGGAAGACGTGGCCAAATCATCCGTGGAGGGGACGCCTCCATGCGTGCATCCCAAATCTTTCTTCCGGGCATGTGTGGCGGGGAATAAATCCATGCTTTGAATGATCTGGAGGCCACGACTCGCCCCGTTGTCAGAGACGTTTGGAATGCTGCGTCTCCCTCGCGATAGTGGTGCATGTCGCATCGACCATGCCCCCCCCCTTGTGTCGACAAAAGTCTTCGTGCAGAATCTTCCCAGGCGAGTGCGGAAGCAAGTACGTGATCGTTTCGAACCCGCGGTGGGGGTGGTCGGGGAACCCCCCCCCCGGTATCGCCACGTGGAATTCGTCAGCATTAGGAACGGGTCCAGTCGCCGGAGCATGCGGTGTCCGATGGATCGGGGGACTTGGTAGAGGATTAGTACACTTCAACGAACAGTTAATTCTTTGCATTTCTACCAATGAGATTGAGCAAACCTGCTAGTCTTTCCCATTTCCACCAATCACATTCATGATATGTGCTATGTAAATTGTTACTTCGAAGTACCATAGTATACATACCCGTATGCTAATTGCCAAGACTTCGACATTGCATTAGCGCGACTCTGGAAAAACTCGTCATGCGGGGCTAAATTTCATGCAATTTTCGTTGGTTTTTATCCGAAAACTGTTTGCGCCATAGAAGTGAAACGAATTACACAAAATTCAGACAGATTTGTCCCAATTTCCTGGATTTGGAACATTGGAGCGTTCCAGCCGACGAGGGAGAGTCTTGTGTCTGGAGCACGCCGCTCCGCCACACCGACGTTGCATGCCAGTGCGACTGGACGAAGTGGATGCGGTACGTCTTGTCCCCGACAACGCCTTCTACGCGCACTCAGGACGCCGGGCTCTAGCCACGGAAGACCTGGTGACCTAGCGTGGTAGGTTGGACGCATCCTGCCGTGACGACGCACACCAAGCCAATCGTCTCCCGCAACATGTCGTTCCAAACGTGATGGTCGAGCGTCACGTGATGGTCCATCCGGCGGCGTATTTCGAGCCCGATGCCTGCTCCAAGATGGTGTTCCACCGATGCCACCTCCCTTGCACGTGGCACAAGCAGGATGTGGCCGAGACCGTCACCTACGCGGGCTCGTTATGGTTCGTCGTTGCACACAAAATTGCTGGATCTCTGAAGGCGTCATGGCAACTGGAGCCCATCGGACAAATGGCATACATGTTGGTGGTGGGGGAGGACGCTTTGGTTGGCGCCGCGGCGATCGCGTCATGGCTCGGACCTAATCTCGGCCTTCGAGGAGGATGTTCGGCCGAGTTTGAAATTCCTAAATGGGAATTTCCTCCTAATTAGGACTATTTTGGAATTTTGTGGTCAAGCAGCAGGGGCACTCCCACGACCGACAATGGCGGAGTCGTCGCCACTGTCGCCGTCCGAGATGACGCGGCTCAGAGAGAAGCGCGAGAGGCACAAGAAGGCCAAGGCAGATCCTTTTGCTCCGCTCGACGAGCTGCTGGAGCGCTTGCTGGAGAAGCACATTGATCCGAGTATCGTGGCACAAACTGCGCAATGGATGGCCGCGCACGACGCGTTCTCGTTACAAGTCCAGATCAAGCTTCGGGCATTTGCGCTCAGCGACCGCACCAAGTCCTTCAACCACAAAGTCATGCTGTTTTACGTCCTTCACGAGTTCCTCAAGATCGGCGCACCAGTCGTGGATACAGATGCCCCCCCGTCTCGGAAACAGCCTCGCCTGTCCACATCGTTCGACGCTGTCCGCCGCACGCGCCACGTGGAATGGATGGCAACAGTTGAACATATCCTCCACGCGTGCGTGCGAGAATCATATCGCGACATGAAGCCCGTGGAAGAACACAGGAAGAAGCTGCTCAAGACGTTGGCGCGGTGGGACGAGCTGGGAATCTACCGAGGGAAGCTGAAGGAGTGGAAAAAAATTGTCCTCGGTGAAATCAAGGTCCGGAAAGCACCCCAGCGGATCCTGCAAGACGTCGTGAACCCCCACGACAAGGAAGGGCTCGACCTCCGGCGCGAACTTCACCGCGGCAACATCGCGTGGTTCTATGAGCCGACCGAGTTCCGATCGCCGCGTGCCAAACTGCGCCACTGGCGGTTCACTGGTGTTGCTTTCATCGATACACTGGGGCGGTGTCTTGGCCTAGAAGCGCACATTGTGGTCGCCGCGATGAGCTATTACCAAACGCTGTTCAAGCGAGGGTTCTATGCCAAGGAGCGTTTCAAGATGGCGGCGGCCGCGCTATTCCTGTCGGCCAAGGCATCTAGCCAGCGCATGAAGCTGCTGCGCATGGTGCACGTCATGCATTACGTCCTGGAGGTATGCTCGCCCTCGTCTGTACCAAAAGATAGAGTTATGGTAGACGCCCCTCGTCACTGGCGACGAGGAGAAAGAAGAAATTGAACGGCTGCATTTACTCCACTACGAGCTCCAAGTCCTGCAAGGCATCGAGTTCAACCTGACGATAGCTTTGCCGTATGACGCGTTTGCGGCGGTCGCACCCGACTTTCCATCGACGGTGAAGGATGCTGCCCAAGTCATTCTGAAAGACATGTACATGCGCGAGGGTATGTGCACGGCATGGACTCATGCGTGCTGGTAGATATTGGACCAAAATGTGCATCGAATTCCCGGCGAAAACCCTCGCGACGGCTGCATGGTACATCGCGACCGCTGCCGCCGACCCCAAGGCAACTCGCAAGCTCAAACTGGACAAGGTCCTCGAACACGGTAAGAAGTCGCGGCCTTTTGCAAGCGCTTGGTGTTTGTCTTGCCTGTCTTGGTGGCCACTTGCTTGACGACCGCCACGGCTCCGTGGGATATGGCATTCATGTCGAGGATGGTTCGAAGGGCGTTGAAAGTCGTGCACGTTGGGTGTATTGGGACGTGTTGTGGTCCAGGTTGTGCGTTGAAATGCACGCACGGGATGGCCGCATGACGTTTGGTCGATCCTCTGCGTGGCAGCGTTGGTGTGGCATGTCTTTGCGTTCGCCCGGTTGAGCTGACGGCAGCCCGCGCGCCTAGACTGCGACTTGATTCAAGACTATTACACGGAATGCAAAGAGTGGAGAGGTAGCCAGCTCATGGAATTCGACGCGCGAACGGTATCGGACGATGACTTGGATCGGTACTTGACGGCGCAGCGCGGCGGTCTCTCGGTCCCACCTGCCTCGATCGAGAATCCGAGAGAACTGACGAGTCTCAAGCCGGCCGAGGTACGCAACAATGTCCGGAAACCAACTGCGCGGTGTGTGTTGTGTGCTCATGCGGTATGCAGCTGGAACGAATGGGCGAAGTGCGCCTGGTTGGAAAATCGCCCCACGACGCGGCCGAAACCCGGCGCAACCGACATCATCGGGATCGCCGATCCAGCAGCTACGACCCCCGGTCTCGAGAACGTCGCCGAAGCAAGTCCCGCGATCGGCGCGACTACAGGAGCAGCGACCGCGGCCGGACGTGGAAGAATGGAAAGGCCCCGTCGTTGCGCAACAGCCAAGACAGACATCACAAACCACCCTACCGGTCCTCGCGGCGACGATCTCGTTCCAACGACTCGACAGAAGACCGACGTGGCGCGAAGAAGCGGGCGCGAAGCGGTAGCAGCAGTCGACGGCGCGGCGGGTCACCCGACTCGACCGAACATCATCACGACTCGCGCAAAGACAAACGATAACCAACCAGACTCATTATTGAGGTCTTGGAGTGCACCCCCACTCGTCGTGTCAGTGGGGGCGTCGGCGGGGAGTACGCGAGAAGGCCGCGTACGCGCCTGGGCAGAGCGCTGCAAGTTGCAGGGAGGGGCTGCGAGCGTACCGACGAAATGTCTGAGGCCATGCTATCAGGGCGGTGCGATTTGACGAGTTGCGCGATGTGCGCTGATGATGTATCGGGGTGTGGCCGCGTTGAACGGAGCAGTGTAGTCATCCGTCCACGGTTGATGCCGGTAGCTACAGAAGTAGTCTTGAGAGCCGCAACTCGCACGTGTGGTGTCGAATGTGTGGCGATCGTGCTGTACATGCGGCAGTTGTTCGTGTCGCCGCGGCAATCGACGCACTCTGCCATGCATGATGGTGTTTAGCGCACGAGAAGGACTGCGGCCGGCCCACCGCCAACGCGACCAGCGTTTCCTGCAAGCGCCGATGCCCTCGCGAGTGCCATGCGTCGGTACACCTCCAACCACGATTCCACCGAGCGGGGCGACGAAACCCTCCGTTGCATTACGCTTTTTGCTGAAACGGATACAAGAGGCGGACCGTCCACGCTGCAATCTGCTCCTTCGTCATGACGACGACAGCACTCTTGACGACGGTGTTCACGAGCTGGGCATGGCATCCTTGAAAGAGCGCCGCCGCCCCGCCGTTCTTCCACGTTCGATCGAGAACTTGGACCATCGAGAGCGACGCGTGCTCGTTGGCATTCTCCGCGGCCTGCATGAGCACTTTGGCCCGAATGACTGGATACGTCACGATTGTTGCAATCGATTTGGCCAGAGCGGCCAGCACAAACGCCTCGATGGCCGACAGGTCGCGCGCGACGTACACCTTGAGCCGGTCGAAGATGGTGTAGAAGATGGACGGGTTCGATACGAGCACGAGGGACGGAAGGTAGCCTTTCCACAGGGACAAGATCCCGTGCTCGTGATACATGCTTCGAAGCAGCGTCAGTGACGATGGGGACGACTGTGCCTTGGCAGCCGTCTGGATGCGAGTTGAGATAACGTCCAAGGGAAGTGTGATCGTCATGTTGATCGCGCCGGCCGCGGCGCCAATCGCGAGTGTCGCCGACGTCGTCAACGGCCCGCGGGACTTTTCGTACGCTGCTTTTAGCCACGCATACCAATAAAAGTAGAAAAAGTTGGAGAGCACCTGGACGACGAACGTCGCAGCACGGTGAATCGATCGCATCGAGCCCACAACCAACATACCGTGTGCGCAGCCTTGGGTCCCAGCCCAGAGAAGAGTCCGTTTACGCCTTCGTCCACCCAGATCGACCGAAGCAGCGCAAGTGTACTTTCACCTTTCTTGGTCGTGTGTGTGTCGGCCTGGCGCTTGGTCTTGGCAACGTCCAGCGGAAACAACGCGAGGCAAGCGAAGAGCGCGCCCAACGACCCCGACTATGCAGAGAACACCATGAGAGCACCTATCTTTCACCAAGGGACTAGGCCCACGACTGACCGACGCTTCCACCAACGCGTTGTCCATCGCGGCGGCTCAACGGGCGGTCGTCGTCGTTCGTGGAAGCTGTGGAGGTTTCGTCAACAAAGCGATTTGCTTGGGTTTCGGAATCTTGTTGTTTGATTGGCTATCGGCATGAAATCATTGTCTCTGATTGGTCGAACGATTCGGACAATTTGCCAAAAAACGAATCCGAATTTCGTAAATCTTGCAGACTTGTGATGCAAGGTCAGCCAAGGGAATTCGACGGTGGGCACCGCGCGGGACTGCGCGGTCGCCCATTCCGTCAGACAGCGACATGGAAGGGGGGAATGGAATACTTCTGCCGGAGCCGTGTGCGCCAAGCACCCCTCCAGCTGATTCTTGCGACGAGCATTACCGGAGCGAAGTCGACGATTCCAACACATGGTTCGATTGCCGCTGGAGCGCAGCACCCCGCTCGTGTCTCACAACTCCTGACACACGGGTGCGGGATTTTGGTGCCTCTAGTCTCGTTCATGCGGCAACGGGTCTCGCTTCCCGCCTTGGGATTCGATAGGGAGTCCGCCGCCAGCGGCGACGTCGACCTCGGCCGGTCGTCGTCCGCACCTCGTCATGTCCTAGCCAGCGCTCGGTCCCAAGGTCGCAGCAGCGGGAGCCGTCGAACATGCCCTCTTGGAACACGATCGACGTTTCCAATCCCACTCTTCTTAATGTATATCTGGGGCATTCCAGCGCTCGAGACGATGCACGGCCATCCAACTCCCAAACGTTCTCCGCATCGGCGATCGCAGCGCTGGCGCGATGCGCGACGAGTCCTCGTGTGGCTCGACCAGCGTGGCCAGCGCTAGCTCGAGCGAGTCGTTTGGTGCCGCGTGTAGTCGAACTAACTAGTCTACGGATGCGAAGCCCATCCCCTTCCAGCTCCTGCTTCTGTGTCAAGTACTAGCTGCGGCCGCGGGAGGAGCAAGGAGCGGGTACGACCCAGCCGCACGCAGACACAGCCTCGTCGGCACGTCCGCAGAGCCCAACGGGGTTTTGTGTAAGGCCAGCAAGTGCAAGGGGATGTTGCCGGCAACAGTTGGCTTGGAAATCCACACAGGCGACATGGAGGCCAGCGCAGTTACCAACGCCGTCTCCAACAAGCAGCGCGGCCGCCGACGTCGTGACTCATTTCGGAATTCTTGAAGAGCATGAAGACGGCGCGCCGCCTGCAATGCCCAGCCGCCAACTTCCCGCTGCCGCCCAACTACTTTGACACACAGGCCCTGGATGCCACGACCCACGACACAATCCTCCACATTGCACGGACGTGCAGCGCCCAGCTCGTCGACACCGTCCACGCGATGGACGACCTCCTCGTGTACGCGATGCACACAGACGCCGCGTCCCAGCGCCGCATGAAGCTCGTCCTTGGCAAGGACGGCTACGATGCGTCGCTGGCGTGCATGGCTGGCCACATGCAGTTTCATGCACCGTTGGTCGCGGTGGCGTCGTTCTTTCGAGCAGAGTGCCTCAGCCGCGCGGCCAACGATGGCCTGGTCGTCGATGGTCAGACCCTGTACACACTTGCGGCACCGACGCTGGACGCCCCCCTCCAGTACACCACGATCAAATGGGTAGCGCACAAGTTGCCGTCGGGCCGCCATCGCGACTACTGCTACCTCGAGGTTCGCACGCATGCCATGGCCGCTCCCACCTCACTGGCCATCCACCGCTACTCTAGAGCCACCGAGCATTCATCGATCCCAAGTCGTCCAGGCGGGGCTGGCTGCGTGTGCTCCATTCGTTGGACGTCCCTGCGTGCCCGCCACTCCCGTCGTCGTCGGGCGTGAAGCGGTCCAAGTGGTTTCGGTCCGGCCATGTCTTGCTTGAGAATGCCGGGTCCGGGTTGCTCGATTGCTACGCCATGCTCACCGTCCCTACCGACCTTGCGCCGACCGCGCACGAGCACCACTCGATGAGCTTCATGCGGTCGTGGGTGACGCAGGTTATGGCTGTGCCGAACGTCTTGCTCACCCGACGCCTCGCGACCAAATCCCTCGTGCCCACCGACGCGCTCCGGCCCAAGGACTCGGTCAAGTCGTGCATGCTGTGCACGGCGCGGTTCCGCTTGTTCAGCTCCAAGCACCACTGTCGGGCATGTGGCCACATCGTGTGCTCGAAATGCCACATCACGTGGACGATGGCGACGCTGCGCATCTGTCTTCGATGCGCCGACAGCAACACGACCAAGTCATGTGCGTGCGACTCGTTCCTGATGACCCATGGACGCTCCACTGTGGCGTCCTGCGGCCGCCACCGGGACGGCGAGCTCTCGACACTGTCCAACAGCGACGTGCTCGAGCCAGCATCGTGTCCAGAGCCGATGCCGCGCGAGAGCTCCGACTTGACCAAATCGAGGTCGTCGGCCCGGCTCGGCGCATTGTCCATCGAGCCCTCGTGTCCCCGCGTCCCCATCAATTACGACCACGTGTTTGATATGTCCGTGCTGCAGCAGCCGCCACCGACCCAGGATTCAGCGGCGAGCCACCGCATCGTCGACAAGCCCGAGTTGTCCATCCCGCTGTCTCGTTCGGAAGACGACCGGTCGAGCTTCTCGGAAGCAATTGTCGACGTCGATGCATTGCTGCTCAAGTCGCGGCGGCGAGCACATTCGTCGCTCGAGCTTCCGTCGACTCATGCCGACAACGTTGTCGCGCTCCACGATCTCCTTGAACAACTCTACGACGGCAAGAGCGACGCCGTCCAGAGCGTCTACCGCGATCTCGTCGCCTAATACAACACGACCTCCATCCTCCTCTCTCTCTCCCACCGACTCCCTACTGGAAAACGCAATCGGGTCGAAACAGCACAAGAGGGTTGCAAGGTCGCGATCGCTCTGCAGACCTTGTGCATGGCACGCAAACATTACCGGTGACTTGGACTGCGGCACCGTTGCCAGCGGGTCCGGGGCGAGGGCGGCGACGACTGCATACGGACGAGGCTAGACGGGGGAGGGCATCGTGGCACAGCGATTGAGAGCATGGATCGAGAATCCGCGTGGCGAATTCCGGGGTCGTTTTTTGTGGTGTCGAGCCGCGTGCCTGGAATGGCGAGGCACAAGCGATGCATGTGGCCCCATGCGGCTCGGGATGGGCCGCGCCATGGCAATTGGATGCGATATGCGCGCAGCATATGCAACATGCGTCGACATCGCGATCCCGTTCTGGACCGTTGGCAGCGACGGATCGATGCGATCGGTCAGGCAACGGCGATGGCCAGTGCGCCACCTCCCGACCCACCGCCACAACCTGCCAAACACGCGCTGGCCGCATCCGTTGCTCGGCCTCCGCGGACAAGGGCGAACAGACTCGCGATGACGCGTGGGGCACGCAATCCATTGCTTGGACACATCAACCACACGGCGCGTGCCTGGCAAGATGAATGGGGGGGGTGCGATGAGCGCTACAGCTGCGCTGTGTTGAGTGGCTGCGGCACAAGTGCACGATCCTGCGGTGCTTCGTGCGTGCGTAAGCTATCATCCTCCTGCACCATCTATATAGTACACGAAAACAAAATTTACCCCCATGCGACGGCGTCGTCCTGGTCAGTGACCAGCCGCAAGCACACACACACACATACACCCACACGTCCAGCGGGGCCATAGACAAGCAGCCAGGGGTCGCGTGCGGTGCGGCGAGCATCTCGTTCGCCCACGCCGCCGCCGCCGACCGGACGCCTCACGGCTGTTTGCCTCGGCGAGATGGTGCAGGTCTGCTACGGCGATCTCTGCGGATCTCGTGCCACGACCACGCTTGCATCATCTTTACTACAAATATGAAGTATAATCGGATGTGCGACGAGGATCGGGCCAACATGGACCTGGGTCTCTGTCGGGGTATTTTCATTTGATGCAAGTATACTGTGTCGCCGGCCCTCCTTTCCTCCACATGGTCGCGTATTCTCGGCAGGTCCCCTTCAACGTCCTGGCCATTTTGCAACACGAGGAGCTGCGATGGCACCGCCGGCGCAAGTGACGCTGCCGCTCCCGACCAACTTCTTTCACACCAAGGCGCTGGATGCAAGGACACAGCAGAGCCTGCTGCACGCGGCGCAAACGTGCGGCGCGCACCTCGTCCGGAATGCGTACGCGATGGACGACCACGTCGTGTACGCCATGCACACCAACACAACGTCGCAGCGCCGCATGAAAATGACGCTCGGCAAGGACACTGTCGACCCGACGATCATGTGCATGATCGGTCACACCCAGTTCCATGCCACACTCGACGACATTTCTGCTTTCTTCCGACGAGAGTCGCTCAGTCACGCGTGCCACGACGGCCTCGTCCTCGATTCGCACACCCTGTACACACTCGCAACATCCACGAAGGACGACCCGTTGCGGTATACAGGCGTCCACTGGACCGCCTTCAAGCTGCCGTCGCCGTCCAATGCGTCCCGCGACTTCTGCTACCTTGAGGTAACGACATGCATGGTGTTCTCTTTCGCATGGCTGACCACCATGGCATGCGCAGCACCACAGCGAGTTTACAGACCCCAAGACGTCCAAGCGCGGGTGGCTGCGCGTCCTCCACTCTGTCGACGTACCGGCGTGTCCGTCGCTGCTGGCCCCATGTGGCCTCCACCGCTCGCAATGGTTTCGGTCCGGCCATGTCTTTATCGAGAGCGGGAGCGGCCTCGTCGACTGCTACGCGGTGTTGTCCCTGTCCGGCGACGCGAGTCAGAGCAGCGCGCAGATGAGTTTCATGCGCAAGTGGATCACTCAAGTCATGATCGTTCCCAACTTGTTCCTCTCGCGTCGGCTCGCGTCGTCGCCGCTTGTCTCGGACGACGAGTTGCGCCCCAAGGATTCGGTCAAGGTGTGCATGGTGTGCACGGGCCGCTTCAACTTGTTCAACCAAAAGCATCACTGTCGATTGTGCGGCCACGTGGTGTGCAGCAGCTGCCACATCACGTGGAAAACCCACAAAGACAAAGTTCGGATCTGCGTCAAGTGCGCAGAGAGCGGCGGCGGGACGTCGATGCGGGAGTCGGTCTCGGGCACTTGGAACAGCAGCGTAGCGTCCCGCGGGGGACACCAGCGGCCACCGCCGGTCAAAGAGCAAGCCGATGCCCACTGGCAGCGTGCGAGCTTCTCGTCGGACACCGTCTCGATCACGACCAAGTCGGGATGGTCCGATGACGTTGTCCACCTTGACTGCCTCTCCTTGAGCGCGGCATCGACGGAATGGGACCACCCGATCAAACCCGTCGCCAACTACGACCACTTGTTTGACTTTTCCGTCCTCCGCGCGCCGTCCACGTCGAGCCCGTCCAAGATCGTCTTGTATGCTGAGCCGCCGGAAGCATCGCGCCAAGCCGCGACATCGTCGAGGAAGACGCTGTACAACATCGACTTGTTGGCGGACGTGCCAAAGCCCCTCACGACGCACCACGGCCCCCCAAAGCCCATGGAGACGCCGCCGATCGACATGGCGTCGCTCTCTATCGTGGACGCGAGTGTCCTCAAGAACTCGCACGTGGACGATGCACGTCGGCCATCGACCGACACGAACGTCGCCCTCCACGAACTCCTCGAGCAAATGTACGATGGCAAGTGCGCGATCGTGCAGAGCCTGTACCGGGATCTTGTCGCACAATCGAGTGCGACGTAATGCTAGTTCGAACGTCGTTGTCGCCCATGTGTCGTTGGAAAAGTTTGCCGCATGCCAGAGGCCACACGTGGTGCCGCCTGAGTGCAGCTACGGCAATGGCACCAGGGCTCTTCGTCGCTTCTCCATGCAATGCTCCCGCCAGCATGAAGGAGATGCGCCAAAGTGTGCGGGTCGAATGCTCGGTCAGTGGCGCAGCCGCACATCACAGTTCCGACGAGCCTGGCGACGTTGGACTTTGACCGAGGGTTCTATATGGCCAAGAGCAGCGAGAACGCGAGAAGGTAGGGCCAAAGAGCTGGGTCGCCGTAGCTTCTTTGGGGTGTTTGCCAGCATGGTTTGCGTGAAGCAAAAGGACGCGGATATCCTGCGCCACGACGACGCCCTATTTTGCAGGCCCCTCCCCGCCCTCCGAAGACGATTCCATCCATACGAGCAAGCGAGCACGTCGTGGCTCGCAATAGCTTGACGTCCATGGCGCGCGGCGGGGTGCCTTGTTAACAACGTTATGGGCATGCTTGGTGTGGAGGCGAGGTGTGCTGCGGGACTTGGACAGAGTATCGAAACCCGGTCGAAGCATGCGACGACAGTGCATTCGAAGGAACCGACTCGGGGCTTCCACTCGACCTCCGGTCGTACGCTGTCCACGAGTTGTAGTCTGGCGGGTGCCGCGGCGCCGCCTTGTGCTGGCCAAACACTTTGCTCCACTCTCGATCGAGCGGGTCCAAGCTCACGTCGGCCTCGCCAAACATTTGCGCATGGAACCAGTCCGTGCCAGACACGGCGGCGGCGCCATGGCGTCCGAGGTTGATGCTCCGGACGCTCTCGAGGAACGATTCGTTCAAGTCCCCGCGCGCCCGCATGCGGCGCTCGAGTTGAGGCACCGTCCCATGACCGGTTTGGGGACAGCTTGCGGCAGAGGTGGCTGGCGAGCTCTGGTGCGTTGGGTGGCGCATTTCTTGCCCGTGTTGGAGTTGCTGCAGCTGCCGCTCAAACGGATTCGTCTCGTACACACTCGAGTCCTGGAACGAGTCGTTGTCGCTGCTGTCGTAGCTGTAATGGTTTGTTTGGCTGTCGACGCTTTCATTGTCGTCTTCGCGGCGGGATGGGCCATCTGGCAATCGCCGATATGGGTCATGGGTCGCTGGCGCACACGCACGTGGTTCCATCAGGTGAATGTTTGGAGTAGACGTGGGGCGTCTAGAGTGACACGAGTGAGGCCGACGACTGCGTGCCCTGGTGCTACCGATGGCATGGCGATGGGTTGGGCGGTGGCGCTGCGGCAAACGTGGACGCAGGTCGAGGAGGGACGAACTGGGGCGGTCGCACCGATCGTTTCGGGGACATCATCATGGCCGCATTCGCCGTCGAGTTCAACGACGATGCCGCGCACATGGTGCAAATGCGGACGCGTTTTTCGCCGGACACGGGCAATTGCAAGTACCTACGGCACGTGTGAAAAACCAGCCTCGAACATGCATGGGAGCGCCGCCCATCGCACAAAACCGCACGTCAACCCAACACAAAGCCCCTTGCGCCCGGCGCGCCTCGAGACGGAGCAAACACATCACGAAAGTTGCAAGTTCGCGGGCGCCATGGTCATACGACGGTACCGTCGCACCGCAGCGACGAACATGCGGACGAGAGATGTCGATCCAGCCGCCACAACGTGACCAAGTGGACGGTCCCTCGATCGAGGCACACAATCGAGAAAACGTACCAGTGGTCGCTGCAGTGCTTGCAAATGACGTGGGCGCACTTGCGGCATCGATAGCGCCGCGTAAAGACGTGGTCGAATCGGCGCGAGCACAGGTGGCAGTGGACGACGTGTTGTTTCGGCGGGAGGTCGATGTCGCCGAGGATGCGCCCCTCGCTCAGCTTTTTCCCTTGGAGGAACTTTTCGATCCGCCCGATGCTTGCGACCCTGCCATCCAGTGACGCGCCGTGGATGCATCACGACCGTACCGGCGACGGAGCGTCTGCTGGCGCCACCACGCGGGGACGGACCCCTTGAAGTTGACCTGGAGGATGTACGTTATGTCGACGACGCCCGGCTTGTTTGTCTCGACTACGACAACCCCGGACCGGTAGTAGCTGCCTCGCACAAATCCAAATGATTTCTCCATGGATGGGCAGCAGCGCGGCATGTTGATCGAGTGGACGCAGCGCACCCACCCTTGCTTGTTGGTGCGCGTGTCGACGAATTCGTCTTGGCACTGCCATCACAAGGAACAACGTGAGGGAGCGCGAATGAATCGTCGACGGCCACGTTGGGCAGAGATTAAAGTGTTGGGACGAGCGCAGCGACGACGACCCGTGGCGCCGGTCTACGGCCGTCGGGATCGATCGAGACACACACGCGCGCATTGCAAAACGACACGGCGCGCTCGCTCTGCATGCAAATCAAAGACACGACAAGAACAAGCACGTGTGTGTATGCGGAGAAAACGCCACCGTCAAGAAGATGCTGTTGCCAACGACGATATATGGCGGCGACGACGACGTACCTCGAGGTAGCAAAAGTCGCGATTCTTCACGAGAGGACTGGACGATTCGATGGCACTCCATCGCACACCAATGTAGTGCATGGGGTTCTCTGGGGACGGGGTTACGATGTCGTAGATCGTAAACATGTCGATGAGGTCGGGCTCGAACACGCGTGCGTACGACGCAAGTTTTTCGTCGCTCGTGAAGTGGAAGAGATCTGTGATGTCGGCCAACGTTCCTCGAATCGTGTTCACACCGCACACGTACGTTAGATTGTCGTTGCCGCCGAATTCTTCGCCCTGAAAGATGTGCACGCCGTCCCGATTGTTGGTTTTGTGCTTCCACTTGACTGTCCCGCCGTTCTCTTGGGCGGAAACGATCACTTCCAAGCACATCTTGGTCGCAATCGACCCGAGGAACTCCGCCTCCGACTTGGTTAGTTCTGGGCGTGTGTAGAATTCCTTCGGCAGCGCTGTGGCGCTGCTGCCGCTCGACTTCTCGGACGACTTGCGGGCGAACATGGAATTGTGTCGGCGCTGGGTGCGGCACGTGTGTGACTTGCGCCGCGTCATTAAACGCGTTTTTCCAGCCATGTCGCCAGCATTTTCCAAAAATGCTGGAATATTTCCAAAATTCGACGGCAATCTGTCCAAATGTCGGAAAAGACGCACTTGACCAACGTTTAAACGTCTTACAACCCCTCCACGCAAATTTCTGATTGGTGAAGATCTCACCCACACCTGAGAAATATTTTGTATAGTAATATTTGTCAAATGGGCAAAAATGTGATAAATTTGGTGGATACCTACCAGGGGACCACTTGCAAGTGGTGCGGGGCACCCGAAGTTGCCGGCGAAAGCGGCGCAGAGGCTTCATTTCGATGGCCCATCGCTTCGTTCGACCACTGGCACATGGCCTCGCTTGTGCATACCTCACCCCCCCCCTCGTCCCCCTCGTCTTTTTACGACGGTGGAGCGAGCGCAATACCCCGAGCACTCGTTGTCTCACATGTCCAAGGATGCGGCCACCCGTGCATTCGATAGAGGGTGCGACGACGGCGCGGACGTGGCATGTAGTGAATGCTTGTTGGCGTATTCTATATCGCGCCCTCCACAAACCCGCGGCCGCCCCACGGTCCCTCTTGAAGCTCCTGAATACCGTCGACAGTAAAAATCTTGGGCGCGAACGATGCCCCCCCCCGTCGTGCCATTGCATCCGCATGCATCCATCGATACAGGGCATACATGCTTGACCCCTGGCAGTCGCTTCTTTGTCAGCAGGCCCCCGACTATCATCGTCGTGGAACGAGGGGGCCCGTGCTTGGAACATCGCATGCAGATTGCCAGGGTTCCGGTGCATCCGTGGTGAAGCGCGCGTGAATTCACAGGAACTCTGTGCTACATACAGCTCATGTTGAACATGTACGAGCCCTCTGGTAGTTGTATGGAGCCATCCTTTCTGTGCGTGACACTGCCCCACCGACAAACTGTTCTGCCCCTCTCGGTATAGCCCACAGTTGTCTTGTAGCCGTACGAGCCAAGCGTGGTCGAGGAGAAGTTGCTTGGCGAAAGCTCGGCCACCATGTCCTGAACCTGGTCAGGAAAGCTTCGCCTTGCATGTGGTGCGGTTCTCGTGGGACATGATGACCGGCTCAAGTCGTTACAAGTGGCCGGTTACATCGTCAGCCCCCCCCCGCAAACGATGCTGAGCCATCCCGACAGGTCGGTCGCGGCGCTGCTTCCTGCCAAGGAGACGTTGTACGTCGGTTGGATGAATTTCCAGTCGCGCGTGGCGTCAGCCGTCTGGGCATCGCTCACCATGCTGTCGATCTACTGCCACCACTTGCACCCTCTGCTGGAGCCCCCGGTCGCCCCCATCCGACACCCCGCCGACGCATCCAGCGCATCGTGGTGCCCCACTGGAATGCGCCGCCCTTGCTTTGCCCCCTTCGCGCGAGCCCAGGCGTGACGACGCAAGATTTGTCGTGTGGAACGAGTTCCTGCCGTAGGCAACGTGTGCTTGACCTCGTCGCAAGTAATAGCGAACCGTTCTTGATTCGCAACCACATCGTTTGCTGCTGCTTGAAATGTTTCCAGTCGGTGGCGCGCTTCTCTCGGCCGCCGCTACGCCACCACATGCCGCCGCCGGTCGATCGCTGCGCGCGTGGAGCTGCGAAAAACTAGGGTTCAGCGCGAGGTGGGACCCGCTGATGCTGGTCCCGTTGCCAACGCAACGACGACAGGCCAAGAGTGGGAGCTGAACGCGTTGGCAAGCGGAGGCGGCACCCAGGCGCAAGTCGCTGCTTTCCCATGCCTCCAGCTAGCCGCAGCCTGCCGCCGTTGGTCCGCCTCCAACCATGTCGTGCTGCGTGGCTCGCACCCACGCCGCCGACGACCAGAATCCCGACGATCGCGCATCCCACTACGCCAAAAACCAATGTACTGTAGGTGATACTCAGGGTGGGGGACATGTGAAAAGTGGTCGCTAGCACGGACGAGCATCACGTCGCCCAATACGCTTCTTGGTGCGACTCACGCCGCCGCGATTCTGTTTCGTGTCGCGATGGCGCGGCTCCCGCATGCGTACTTTGAGCCGCCCAAGCTGTCGGCGACGGACCGGCAGTCGTTTGTGAACAACGCCAAGGACGCGTGCCGCAACCTGGTCCGCCAGGCCCGCGCCATGGACATGTTTCCGATCTACTGCGAGTCGACGCACCACCGCACGCAGCGCCGCCTGTCCATGCGCCTCGGCCACGACGTCGGCAACCCACGGCTGGTGTGCATGAGTGCGCACACCCAAGTTTCGTGCACGGTCGACGCGATCGCGGACCTGTATTACACCAACACGGTCCAGCACACGTACGAGCACGTCCTCCACCCGTCCGTGCTCGATCGACGGTGCTTGTATCCACTCGTCCATCGCGACCAAGTCGCGCCGCTGCATTACGTTGCGCTCAACTGGATGGCCGTCGAGATGCCGTCCGTGATTGCCGACCGCGACTTTTGCTACGTCGAGGTACGCCGTCAGCGACTCGTGGCGGCGATGCTGACGCGGTGTGTCTGTAGTACCACGACGAGTTTCACGACGGCGCGGACCGCCGCGGGTGGGCGCGCGCCATCCACTCGGTCGACCTCGCGTCATGCCCGCCGCTACACGACAAGTTTGGCATGATCCGCGGCAAAATCTACCACAGCGGCCAAGTGTTTATCGAGAACGACGGCAACTCGTCCGTCCTCGACATGCACCAGATCGTGTGCGTCGAGCTCCACGGGACCGTATCCCACGATATTCACGTACGTTGTCGACGTGGATGGCTCGCCGCCGTCCTCTCTCACCCGTGCGCGCCCACGTAGCACGCCGTCCTGGTGCAACTCGCGGAAGAATGCATGAACGTCGACGAGTACTTGCGGACGGTCAACTTGAGCCAGTGCCGCCTCGTCGACGCGATGGCGTCGAAAGCCCACTGCTGTGCATGCTGCGAGGCGCCGTTCAAGGTGTCGCTGCTGTTTGCCAGCGTCAAGCGCCACCTGTGCCGCGTGTGCGGCCATACCGTGTGCGAAGAGTGCTCGGCATTGTGGGACCTCGATTGCAAAAAGCCCGTGCGCGTCTGCATCGCGTGCAGTGAGCAGGCCAAGGACCCGCTCAACTTGTCGTTGTCCAAGACCCTTCCGCTCATGACGGTCCCCCCTGGTGAGACAGCACTGTGGCCCAGAGCTCACTCGTGTTTCCAGGGATGCTGCATGGCAACAACTCGTCCGAGGCGGCGGCCAGCCATGCCGAGAGCCCTGCCGCCGCACTCGACCGCGTCCACTCGGCGCACCATCAACGACACGATCAGGACGACCACGGTAGCATGCGCGCCACTCGATCGAGGCGCCAGTCGGGGCAGAGACAGCACTCGAACAGTGCCCCGAAGATTGTGCTCTTTGACGAGTACGACGCGGAGCACGGGCTCCGGCAGCTCGAGTCGACCTCGCTTGACGAAACAGCGGCGGACCGCGACAGTTGCAACCAAAAGCTCCGCGACTTGCTCGAGACGAGCCGGTCGTACAACCCCGACGCCGTCAGGCAGATCGTAGCTGCCCTCGAGTAACTAACCACACGACCCACCATCCCAACGTGTGCCAACATAACCAAGACCAACTTTTTCACGTGGACGCTGCTTTCAGGGCCGAGAGCACCCCGTCGACGGGCTTGGCAATGCCGTGCGTGAAGCGACGTTCGAGGGCCCACACTAGACTCGTCTTGGAAGAGATCGTGGGCGAAGGAGGCGGTGGTCGTGCTAGGCTTTATGACCCCTCGGTCTGTTGAAAATCGAGCGAACATGCCTCGCTCGACTCGACCGTGGTGCCGACAAACATCTCGCGAGACACGGCATGGGGGGAGGATGGAGTCATCTCGCCACTTCACGCCGTCACCGCCGCATGGGTCGTTGACGGCGTGAAGTGGCGCACGGCACCGCCCCCACAAACCGATTTACGTTAGCAGTCGCAGGATTCATTCCGCACATCCACGTGACTTGAATCTCCATGGCGTGAACGACTGCAGGTGCTGGCGCCACACGCTTTCGTGCAAATCACTCGTGCGTTGTACGTTCGAAGGGATGGACAGGTGCAATGGCAGTGGGGTGTGGCTTGCTCCACGGACCAGAGGAGAGTCGAGTTGTCGCGGGCTTCAAGGTCGTGGTTGGCGTCGATCGCGGCCATGGCCAAGTACGCGCCAAGCTCGGGGTAGCCGTTTTCGATGGCGAACCTGCTGGGCGTGAACCCATCGTCGTCTTCTAGCATGTGCCTGTGGTCCAACCCAGCGACAGCGACCAGCCATCGACACGCGTCCATGTGCCCTTTCATCGCGGCTTTGTGCAGCGCGCTGTGGCCGTTATGGTTGACGAGCTTGAAGTCGACGCGCTGGCGGTGCAGAAATGCCAGGACGTCGATTCTTCCCGTCAAACACGCCCATTGCGACGCATTGCATCCGTACGAGTTGATCGAGTGCACATTGCACTGGCCCGTGGTCCTATGCAGCAGCACCACGGTGAGGCGATGGTGCGCTCCATCGTCGAACGTACACGAGCCACACGCACGTGGCGAGCTGGGCATTCCACACGGCATAGTGAAAAGCCGTCGTACCGTCGTCGGTCGGGCTATCGACATCGACCCCCAGGTCAACCACCAAGAACGCGCACATGTTGATGTGGCCATTGCGCGCCGCCCAGTGCAATGGACTCCGTCGCATATCTACACGAGGAAGCAGGGGCAATCGATGGCCATGATGCACCTACCTCGCTTTCCCTGAAGCGCGCGGGCATCCAAGCCGCATGTTGTGACCAAGTATTCACAAATGTCGACATGGCCAGCGCCGGCAGCCCACACGAGCGCATTGCACCCGTTGTGGTCTTCGCTGAGCGGATTCCACCCCCTCTGCTCCACTAGCTGTTTGAGGGTCGAGAGATGGCCACCTTGTGCGGCTAAGATGCCTGGATTTGATATCCGAGCGATCGGTGCTGGCACCGACGGAACTGGAGGGTGGGATGTCGGCGAGGGAGACGTGGAAGACGCCGAGTCGCGGCTTGGGACCACAAGAGGCGCCGTGTACACGACAATTTGCAAGTCCGTTGCCAACGCTTCGCCCTGAGCAGACGCAAACGAGCTGTCGTGGTGGAGCATCTGGTGCACGCGGATTCCCTTTGGCCCTTTGAAGAACTTCCCGCACATCGAACATGGCAGCCGCCCGTGCGTTGCGTGCCACTCCAAGTGCCTGTGGCTCGTGAATGTCAACACTCCATTGCCGCAGACGCGGATATCTGCCACAACTGCTCGCAACTCGTCGTCTTCCATGAGGAACGTGGCCATTTCGTGGCCGAGCGACGTCGATGATGCATACGTTCGCACGCGCGTGAGACCGTACGTGGAGACGGTCGTCACAGACAGAGGAGCGTCCTTGCAAGCAGCGCCGCGTTGGTGGAGCGAAGTGATGTGAGCCTTGAACACGTCGATGGCAAACGGTAGCTCCAAGTCACCCGACGATGCTGGTCGCTTGCCTACACTCCTGTCCGTTGTTCAGTTCCTTTGACAAGGGTAGAGCACACCTCGCCGCAGTCGATTCTTGCTTTGGGATGTGTAGTAGTCGACGTATGCCGACCCCAGCGTGGCGTGCACTGCCCGCAGCACCGCGCTGGCGACTACTGCATCATCATCACCTTGCGCCATCATCGACGTATGCAATTCCGGATACGAAGGCGACTCATCCGGATAACGTGAAGCGACGGTGCAGCTTGACACCGCGCGCCAGCACATGCTGCACGACGGAGCCCAGAGCTGAGCTATCAAGCTCATCCTAAGCATGGATTCAGGGAAAGTGATCGCAGCTGGAGGAACGACATTGATGATCACAACTGGAGCCTGCAACGGTTCTGGTTTCGACAGCAGGATGGGATCGATGAAATGGTGAAGGACGACAGAGAAAAGAAGCAAGTGTGGTGCATTAAGATCGGGTCGTGGCATGGGCATTCGATCAAGGGGTTGAAGCGACGCAGCGGTGGCGAAGCGCCTCGAGGATATGCTGGACTTGTCAGGCGAGATGTCGAAACGACGTCCACGTGCTTCGTAGCAATGGGTATTCGTCCTTCTTTGGCGCGCTTGGTTGCGCGCTGTTGCTGGAAGCGGGTGCTTGATACGGGGCCTTAAACAACGATTGCGCGAGATACGAGGAATCCCCAGACGACGATTGCTGCGACGGTTGCGAAGTCGACGAAGCCCCGCCACCACCGCTTCCACTTGGTGGATTTGCTGTCGGTGGGCCAGTTTCGATTGCAAGTTGGTCCGTCAAGAACTTGGCGTAGTCGTTGCCCTTGTACTTGGACCCTTTCCACCACGCGTACGGGTCGGGCTTTTCGTCCTTCTTCGGCCCATCCGACGTCTACCTCGTCAAGTCAATGCGCTGCTCACTGCAAGTTGACACGTACCTTTGGCAATGTGGCCTTGCCCCACCACTGCGGCGGCTCGTTCCACCACGGCCGAGTCGCACTGGCGTTGTTGCTGCTCGTGGAGTTGCTACCAATACCCTTCGCCGTGCTTTCCGCTGGCCGAGCCGCATTGGCATGGCTGGCCCCCTCCACTCCGACGTTTGATGTCGCGGTAGTTGTTTTCAGCTGAATTTTCCTACCATGTTTTCCAAATGCATAAGCCACGACCCAGCACATTGGTCACGGAAGAAGCACTGCAGCACATACCCCTGTTCGATGGCGAGTTTGAGGGACTCGAACTTCCAGAACTCGCTCTCGACGTATCTACAAACCACGGATGATGCATCGTGGCCCAAGTCAAGAGGGCCATACGCACAACGCTCGAAGGAGTTTGGGGTCGTTGGGAAGCACGCCGTCACGCAAAAAGTTGAGCATGACTCGAAACAAATTCCAGTCGCGGTTAATGCAAAAGCACCCGACTTCAGCCGCGCCAAGCGGCGAGTCGGTTGCAACGAGCGCGGCCAGCAGCGACTTGGGGTCTTTTCGTGCGATCGCCATGGATATCTCAAATTCCTGGTCGCCCACTTGTATCCTCAATCGATCTGTCGTTGACGATCTGTCCTCGTGGCAAAACCAGTCGGACGTGAGCGAGGCTTCAAACCTCTGGTGCTCGGACTCGAGTAGCGCCCGTTGCAGCATCAACCGGCGATGTTCGTGGCGCAGAAACGCCTTCTGCCCTGCCACCTTGTGCAGCTGCGAGCGCAATTTCTCCTGTCGTGCTTGCACTACAGTCTGGTACAACTCCGACTCGGACTGGGCATGCTCCAACCGCGGATCCATCGCGACGTACCGCGTTGGCCGCAGCCGTTTCACTCTCGGGCACGTGCTGGATAAATTATCCGGATGACCGTGGTATCGAGAGGGTGGTTGTCCCGGCGGTCGCTCGCTCCCTTGGTCTGCCTGACAGGGGGCGGCGGCATGTTGAAAGGCCCTAGCTGCCCATCGATTTCTCCACGCTCCGACGATGCAACCGAGGTGTCCGTCGCGACGCTTGTGTCAACGTTATCCACGCGCCGTAGGGGCTAATGGGGCAGACCGACCGGAGGCTTGCTATCAGCGCCGCCCGATACACGTTGGTAGGAGGTATGCACTCCATGCCATGATATGAACTAGGCTCCCCCCCACCAACACGACGACCCCGTACGATTTAAACACAATCTGGGTCCAATTTTGGAAGGGCCAAGTCGTCATCCACTCGACGTGTAGCTTTCCCATGTGGGCGTCGAGAACCCGCAGCCAGGAGAGGGGTCATGTGAAGGAGCGTACGCTCGCAAAAGGAATGCCATGTCGCCCAGCACGCCTCGTCTGGGAGCGGCACGGTCGGGTAGTCTCCCTCCAGCCTTCCCGACACACATGCATGGATCTCCTGCGCTCCTCATACTTATCTAGGCGAATTGCGAGGGTATTCGGATGATTATCCGTACTTCTCATCTTTCCAGGATGGCCACAGGCCTGTCTGACCGGTCCTGGCGCATCCCTGCGCCAAGCCCACGGCACCGCCCTCACACATGCCGCTCTTCAGAATTGCACGCTGGACAGTCTGTTTCCTATCTGATTGCCTTGTCAAGCCTGAGTCGCCTCCATCAACGCTACGGACCATGCGACATTGGAGAAGAAAACGAATCAGATGATGGATCTCGCCCTTCGAATAGAACGTCGCAGCGAAAACGCAATGTGGCCCGCCCCAAAGTTGCTCGCGCCTCCATTTCTTCATCCTCGTTCGCGAAGCGCCGTCCAAGGCGTCGGGCGGCAGGATGCAGCGACTGCGACGACTTCGCTCCGTGCGCTTCTCTTGGTGTTGGTATCCCCCGGCCGTACCCACAGATTGGGTCAGATTCCACTGTGACCAACACATCCAGTAGCCATTATGCAATAGTAAAACCAAGGGAAACGGTGCTTTGGATTTGTCCAAATTACATTGTGTTTACCGGACTGCCGGTGTTTTTGTTCTATATTGAGGGGTCATCCGGATAACGCGACGCGGTTGTGTGGCTACCATTTCCGCTTTGGCATTTCACTGGTCGCGCAAGCTCCCGTCGGATAAGGATCTTCCATGGCACCGCACGGGCATGCATCGTATGGCGCCACGTCGACCGAGTCGACCCCCCTCGTTGCCCCTGATAAGAAGAAGACCCCCGTGGCTCTGTCGGAATCGTCGCTGCGCGCGCGCAAGAAGTTGCAATGGGCGTGCTTGTTCTCGCTCGTGTTTATGGTTGCCGAAGTCGTGGGTGGGTTTATGGCCGGCAGTCTTGCGATCATGACTGATGCCGCGCACTTGCTCAGCGACGTGGCTGGGTTTTGCATCTCCCTCTTTGCAATTTGGGTCCAAACGTTGCCGGCCAGCTCCAACATGACGTTTGGGTTCCACCGCGCGGAAATCCTCGGCGCGATCATTAGCGTGTTGGTGATTTGGGTGCTCACGGGCTTTTTGGTCTACGCCGCCATCGAACGGTTCCAAGACGCAATCAGCGACTCTCCCCAAGAGCACGTCGATGGCAAGCTCATGTTCATCGTGGCGACCATCGGCCTGGTTGTGAACCTCGCCTTGATGAAAATCCTTGGCCATTCGCACTCACACGGCATTGGCGGGGCTTCCCACGGGCACAGCCATGGAGGCCACGATGACCACGGGCACAGCCATGGAGGCCACGATCATCATGGACATAGCCATGGACATGATGACCACGATGACCACCACAGCCACGGACACCACGACGTCGAGCACGGCCATTCCCACGGCGACCACGGCAAGAAGGAAGCTTCAAACGGCAAGCCGACGCTGGAAAACCTCAATATCCAAGCGGCGTACATTCACGCGTTGGGCGACTTTATCCAAAGCCTCGGTGTGTGCATTGCTGGCGCATTGATTTGGTACAACCCGGCGTGGCAAGTGGCCGACCCGATCGCGACCTTTTTGTTTTCCATCTTGGTGCTGTACACGACCATCGACATCGTGCGGGGCTCGGTCCACGTCTTGATGGAAGGCACACCTGAAGGCTTTGACACGGAAGAGATCATGAAGGGACTCGAGAGCCTCCCGTCTGTCGCGGAAGCACATGATTTGCACATTTGGTCGCTCAACGCCGGCCTCCCTTCGCTCAGCGTGCACCTGGTACGACATGATATTGCATGATGATGCATCTCACACGTGGGTGGTGCAGGTGACGCACAAAGATAACGTCGACGATCCCCTCCACGAGGCACAAGAGTACTTGATCTCGAAGGGCATCGACCACACCACGATTCAAGTCGAGCGGGCCTTGACGACGTACCCCCGAGACTGCAATGACACGGTGCACTGCGGTCAGCTCTCGCCCAAATAGACCATGTCTGGGTTGGACAGCATGACGAATTGTACTGCATTCTAAAGCACCCCCCATGATTCCCCCTCTCCATATTTCATCAAGGATCGATGAAGGGGCATCTCCCGCCCATGGACATATCCGTGGCTTCGCAGCATCCCCTCCAAGATGCACGCTTGGTCTGTACCTCCCAAGGGAATGCTGGAGTAGACTCGTGGATCCTGCACGACCCCACTCTGCCGAGTGCGTCGGCGCCAAGGCTGGCTGGCGAGGGCGTTGCTGCCTGCTCGTTGGGCATTGCCAAGAGGATGAGAGTTTGTGGTGGGGGCACCACGGAGGCAGCACCTCTGCCGTTGGTTGTGGAGGGAATGGTGTCGAGAGCGGCGGGATTGGCAGTGACGTGAGATGTCCATGTTGACCAGTGTACCACTCTGACGAGCAATGTCGGTATCAGAAGAATGTTCTCGGAACGGTCGCGTACTGTCCGTACTTCAAGCAGCATGTCAC